GTCAGGTACATGCTGGCTGGGGGAATTGAAGTCTCCAGATCATAATGTTGAGAAACACTGCTAAAGAAGAAATAAGACATAAGGCTGGTCAAATTTTAAAGAGATCTCAGCCCCCAGCCAATATATTGACAATGGGAGATTGTTCCTTAGAACAATCTTAATCCACAAGAGAATATCACTATTCTGCCAGCAGATAAAGGAAATGCTACAGTGATTATGAATATGAAAGACTGTTAGAATAATCTCCAGGACCTCTTAGACCAGGCAACTCATAAAAACTTAAATGTGATCCAACAGCTAATGTTTTATGGCAAAACACTTAACTGCACTTTTACAGCCTTGTAGTGGACTTATGTCAACACATATTAAGGATTCAACCCATTTCATTGAGAAATTAATAAGCTTGGTCTTAGACAAGGTAATATACTAATCAGTTTTGATGTGGTTTTACTTTTTACGAAAATTGCTGATTAAGGAAACATCAGCACTGTATATATTAAGAAAATCTTCTCCAAAGATTTTACCAATTTATTCCATCATTGTCTAACTGGTGGTTATTTCCAGGGGAACATCAAATTCTCTGAACAGATTAAATGGGCTGAAATTACATAAATACAAACAGAAATTTGAGCAATGTGGACTGGACATGGCACGTTTAAGCCATAAGTTTGGTTTTGGTATGTGGATGACTTTTTTGGGATCTGGAGTTATGGTAAGGAAGAACTCAAGAAATTTCTAGAGCATCTGAATTGTGTCCACTAAAATATTCAATTTACGATGGAAGAGAAGAATGGCCAATTTGTATTTTTGGATTGCTAATCATTACAAAAACCCAACAATTCAGACATACTAAAAGCCAATATGCATTTGGTTTTAATTCTAATTAATTCTAACCATCATCTCCTCTAATAAAGTATGATTAAAATTCTCACTGATCATACTTTACTTATTTGTGAGCCTGAAAATATTACTTGATGAGTTGAGATATCCCGACTTTACAAGCTAATGGTTCCTCTGATGGTGAGATCACACAAGTGATGCAATCCAACAATTAAAAACAGCTTCACATATACATCAAAGGACAAACTATACCAGAGTAGGAAAGGTGTTTCTCCTTTTATTAAGAAAATTACAAACCAAACTGAACATTACTGGAGAAATACAACTTAAAAACTATCTACAAATGAATTTATTCATTCACTTAAGGATGGCAGAAGTCATCCTTTCATCATCAGAGGTTTGTTGCAAACCTTGCAGTTGTACACAGGTATGTATTGGAACTAAAAAAAAAAATTCAACCAAAAGAACATGAGAAATATTACAACTTGAAAATCAGTGGTAGCTGAACACCCACTGCTACATAATGGGCATAGATTCAATTTAAAGACACACAAGTATTAGCAATCATATCAAATTGTCATGCAAAACTACAGAGAGAAGCTATTGAGATTTATAAACACTCCAACAACATTAACAAGAAAGTCTGAATGTTAACAAAGCCTGGTTTCCAGTTTTATGTCACCCTAAAAAAAAAGCCCTTGATTAACCACACGGTATAGAATCTTCAGCGGTCTTACCTGAAATAATAATAATAATAATAATCAGTAGCTGGTTTCAGACAGACCAATAAAAAATTAGCCCCTTTGGAACTTGTTAAAAATCAGACCAATTACAAATTTGCTTGTATAAAGAACCAATCAGAAATTAGCTTTCCAGGGACATTAGCCAGTTAGAGATTAATTCTGTTACAAATACAAGAGCTTTATCAGTTTCTGCTCGGTTGCCCATGATCACTTTACCTCTGAAAATGCCAGCCATGGTTGCTGGTGAAATATCAGTATACCAGATAATTAGTCATGGCTTATTAGCTCAAAAGCTTGGCCCCATTGGATCAATACTGGCCGTGAAAGCTTGAATTGTTAATATTTGTGATTCAAACACTGGAATGGTGCAGGCTTAATTGATTTCTGCATTTGTGCTTTTTTTTTTTCCTTCTGGCTTTGCTTCATGGCAAAAAAAAAATGTCTAGGGCCAGATTTCCACCTTCCAAGCATTAACTGATTAAGCTGGTTGCAGAACTGTAATTCAACCCAAGGCTCCAAGTCTGATTAAGGTCCAAAGAATAGTGCAACTAGCATTAAACTCTCAAGGGAATTTTGGACTTTTTTTGTGAACAATTCCCCATTTCAAATTATTATGGCATATTGCAAGGAACTTCAGAAGTAGTTTTTTATATGGCCTAGGAACCGGTTTCTAATAGAAAAGGAAAAAAGTCAAATACTCTTTCAGGAGCACACAAGCCCTTGGAATCACCTAAAGCAGAGGTCTTCAAACTTGGCCCTTTTATGATTTGTGGACTTCAACTCCCAGAATTCCTCAGCCAGTGTGCCTGGCTGAGGAATTCTGGAAGTTGAAGTCCACAAGTCATAAAAGGGCCAAGTTTGAAGACCCCTGACCTAAAGTATCTTGGTTCCTTACTGAAGCTTTTGTGTTACACAATGAGAGTGGTTTTGCTCTGAGGTTTATCGATCGTCATTGCTTTGGATGCTTGGATTTAGCTTAACTTATTTAGAAGAAATCTTACCCATGTTTATTCATCCTTTCCTGTAGCAGGTAATAAAATTTACATAATTAAGCCAACTAGATTGTGTATTAAACATTTTTCTTACCCTACAGGCACCTCTTGGCAATGATACTCCTTGATCCCTGATGTCTTGTTGTGTGTAGCACACTGTAAACAAAATTATTATAGGCTGTATTTCTATGGGTTACTCTGAATACTATAATCAGTAATCCTATTACTAGGACTGTGGCTCTTGTTTTGGTGCAGTGAGATTGTCTTTAGATCATATATTTCTAGATTTTTTTGGTACTCTTTTGGACTATAATTATTAAGAATTTCACAAAGGAATCATACAAGATTGTAAATCTGCCTTGGCTAAAATAGCCAAAAAAAGAGAAGACGACTTGCATTTTTATAGCTAAATTGTACCTGCAAGTCTTTTTTCCCCATCTCCCACTGATCCTTATAGTTGAATTCTGATGAAGATAGTTATAAGGCTTCCCTTCTTCTCCATAATCCACCATAGTGGCTTCTGAGTGTCCTTGAGTATAAATTACATCTGGATGACTCTATATACATGTAATAGATGGAAATAACCTTGGAAAACAAGGTACAGGGTGTAGATCTGCCTCCAGCCAAGAATCTCCAAGTCATTTGGCTATTTATAATGTAGAGTTATCATTCTTACTTCCTGAATGTTTAATATCATTTTGGTTGATTCACTGGCATGTAGAAGCAAGAACAAGTAGCATAATGCAACAACAGTAGAACTGCCTGCTCCGAGTACAAATATGGCCCTTTTAACTGATTTGCTACCCGTGATCTGTTTTCCAATTTTGCAAAGGAAGTGCAACCTTGGGCTGCAAATGCACCTTTTAATCCTTTTTTGTACATCAGTTGGAAGCAGTCCACAGACATTGTTGAAGGGCACTAAAGCTGCTTGGTCTACTTCTGATAATGCATAGTAGGTACCGTTATAATTTGTCTTTGATTGCCTCCGTACAGCTAAGGAGGACTTAGGCAAGACTGCCATCGCTGATTAGGCTGCTTGTACTGTGGAAAAAACTCTTTTCATTAATGAAGCTGCAGACCCTAAGAGATACTATTGTCATAAAATAATCTGCAAGTTAATTTCCAATAATCGGGAACCTTATAATAACCATTAAGATGACTACTCCCAAGGTCTTTGATTTCTAAGAAGCTATGAATAGCTCTGAACCTATCTGCGTTCACAGATTTCCAAAAAGCACTTCACAAGGGGATTTACACATCTTTCACGGTAAACTTGAGGCCCTCGGTTATCTGAATCTAGCTTTACTGTATGATGAATATGGATATAAATAGTTAATATGAAAAAAGGAATTTATTTAATGTATGAAGGATCAGAGTAAGCCACCATTATAATCAATCAAAAAAAAAAATTTCCATGTTGAACTTTATTTCATACTTATTTTTAATGAAAATGAAACAAGCATGGATCAGAACAATTTTTTTGATTTTATGACCTCTGCCTAAAATAGAACTGTGCCTGCCATGTATTTTGCCTGCTTCTAACCATAATTGACTTTTATGTAAAGAAAAAAATAAGAGTATCCATATAACAAAATAAACTGGGGAAAGTGTTAAAGCAAGAAAAAAGCTTAAGGCTTAAAGTTTTGGTGTTCAGAATTCTTAATAGCTGTAGCCTTATTTGAACAAAGAAAACATGCACTGTAACTGCCTGAAGAAAACACACCACAATTTACATCAGGAAAAAAATGGGCATGATTCAGCCAACATAACACATTCAACTGTATTGACTGGAAAGTAATTAAATATGTATTTAAAGATTAACCAAAGATCTGATTCAGTTTCTTATTTATGTATAGCCTTCTACTGAATCTTTCCTTACTCTCATGAGAGCTGCTACTGAGTGAGTGGGAGATGTTTCAGCAGAAAACTCCCCATCTTTTTGAATGAAATGGAGGATGCAATGGGCACGTGGTCATGTCTGAAATGTTCGTCTTTTGCTGGATTTTGTGCCCTTATAAATTATAATCTGCCCTGTTAGTAGCTCACTTTTGTTTTTACTTATTAATCAATGCTTAAGAAATATAGGAGAATAACACTCCATTTACATTTTTCCCAGAATATACAGTATAAATATAGTAAGAACCATGCCATAAAACTATATGCAAAATTTGCACACTATTATTGCATGCTTGTGATGATACTACATGCCAAATAGTATTAGCTTATTAGCTTTCAAATTGACCCTAAGCTGAACTTCAGATCTTTTATTGTAGATTTCATCAGTCCTTAAAAGGGGAGAGTATTATCCCAGAGTACACGTAGCTGTAAAGAAACCCAGTCACCAAATATTATTTAAATGTGTTTGCTTTTCTGCCCAAATTAGATATAATGGCAATTCAAGTAATGCCTACAAAGTTTGTTCCTGCTATGTAAATCGATCAGAATTCATTTTTCGCAGCTTTCGGGGAAGGTTTCCCTCCATTCTGCCTCCTTCTCCTGATAACTTTTGAAGTTTTGGGGGCAAGTCTGCCATAGATTGGCTCATAGGGTCTGATAACATTTTTGTGGTCTTAGATATCAGTTTCTCTTCTGAGTTTCCAGGGACAGAACTTATTCGCTGAAGTTTCATAGGAAGATCCCCCATGCTATAGGCTTTTTCTGAAGTAGTAGAACTCATTCTCAACAGTTTTTTAGGAAAGTCTTCCCTTCCAGTCATTTTCTGTAGTTTGGATGGTAGCTTTGTACCAACGTCATCAAGGCCATCTAGACATTCTATAGAATTATTCCTTTCTTTACTGTTCCCTACAGCTGGTGCTATTAAAGGGGAGGACATAAGCAGCATTTCTTCCTGTTCTTTCACACTGTAAGGTGGAGTGGGAACTTCAAAGGTTGCATGGAATTGGGAGTAGTCTACTTTGAAAAATCCTTCTTCTAAGGAAATAACAGGGTAAAAACGATGGCCCCAGAGAACTTCATCTTCTGTGTATGATGTTCTGGCTTGACAAGTCATTCCTGCAGTGAAAGAGCAAACAACAACTTAGTGAATGACTTGGAAATAACATTATCTACACATAAAACACATTTGGTTTGATTTCCAGCTCTCCAGGCTTAATTTCCATTTATCTCAATGGAATGTGAGGATGCCCATGTACATAAAACATATGACAATAGTTTCTTCAGAGAAATGCTGCCACATTGTTCTGTAACAATTGTAAGCTAGGGACATTCCATTCCATTCCTGGAAGATTGCCCTCTTGTTCTGCAGCATATGTGCAATATTTGGAATTGTTATACAATGTACTATAGTTAACAGACCAAACGAAAACCATGCTGAAAATACATTAAAATAAAGTATATGAATACTTAAATAAAAACTATAAAACAGGCAGAAGCAAAAGAGAGCATCTTCTAAAAGAATTGGTTACTGCAAAGGGAGTTACATGACTAATATTCTATGAATTCATAGATAGATTAGGCATCTGGATGGATGAATAGATAATCCATCAAAAGTACACTTTATTAATCCAATTTAAATGTAGCTAGTCAATCTATAATTGTCATCATAACCAAGTCTCTTGTTTGACCACAACATCTTTGGTTGACGCTTATTTTTCAGGAAGAATATTACTCTACCCCAAACATACTGAAATTGTATTCTGCGTCCACTTCCTGACTAAATAATCTCATTTTAACTGGATTAAATTTCAATGCATTATCTCTCATCTGGTTCATTACAATCTTCAGATACTCAGAAAATCCCAGATATTTCACAACTCAATACAACAGGATTTAATACATGATAATCCTTAACTTATTAAAGTACTTTAAACCATCTCTCATGAAATTTGCATCTAGAGAGCCAACTATGTATTTGATAAAATGAGCTGTAATTCACAAAAGTTTATGCCTTTTAATAACATTTGTCAGCTGGAGATGGTGCCATATTCATTCCGCTTTTTGCCTCCATAGATTAACTTGGCTCTGATCATACAATATCAAATACTGATCTAGAATATTAGCAACTTCCCTAGTAGTAGATGAAAAAGAAAGAGCTGCCTGTTATCTGCATATTGATATCAGAGCATTCTAAATATTTTGATGGTCTCTTCCAGTAGTTCCAGGGGCTACTATTCAACTGCGCATAAAACTGGTTCCTAAGAAATAACATCAGTCCCTTAGCATCCTCCATTTGAAAGTGCCCAACCCATACCTGAAGCCAGATTAAAATGAAATACTAATAAAATGACTATATTGAAATAAAAAGGTAATACAATCATGGAGATACTAGTAATACTATATCTCAGAGTTAGTGACTACTGATACTGTTCATACGATGGAGAAGATTCCTACCAAGCATGTTTCTACTGACATTATCCTTTCAATGAATCCTAATATTATTTGATTTCATGGCTGACTGGTTTCTTTATTAGGAAGTGCTTGATAAAAAAAACATGTTATACTTTCATAGATCACTGAAACTTAAATTGCACTCTTTAAAAAGCAAGAGTTGCTGTATTTTGCCATAAAGGGGAAAATGTAAAATGCATATCCCCAGTTGAAGGTTGTTGCAAACTTTCAAGATTTCAAAGTTCTTGAGGATGCAAAATGGTTAGAAAGGGATGGGAAAAACAGAAGGAATACATCTGATTTTAGAGCCATGTCTGAATTAGATATAGAATGAGAATTCCTTGAATTTGCAAACTGAGTCTTCAGGTTGTCTTATAGCTAATACACAGTTCTCATCACATCAAGGAATAAAGTATATTTTAAAATCAGCTGAAAGCATTTCAAGGGTATCAATTTTTCATTTCAACACAAATAGAGGACAGAGCAAGAACTGAACCATATGCTTCCTACTATCTTGATCAATCAATAAGAAATCTGATCCAATTAATTCTGGGTTTTAACAGAGAACCAGAGTGTCTCTTTGGCTTGTCTTTGTCTTTCAATATAAGCACCACAAAAATCAACTATATTGAAAAGGACTATACATTTGTCCTCAGAAGCTTCTTGGAAGGCTGGGGTAGACAATTGGATATAAGCAAACGTTTTCATGACGCTTGTATTTTAAGAATATAGTCAAAGTCATCTCTGAAGTCAATGTTCCCAAAACGGTGACACTTCGCTGTTACTGATGACAAAATATAGTTCATTAAGTTTGATGCTATAATTTGTGATACAGTGGTGAAAAAACTAGGCTTATCTTTTTTTAACTTCTTACCTCCCAGGCTTCAAGTCATACCAATTACATTTGTTTCAGCAAAAATATGCATTGCTTAAATATGTAATGTAGAAAAGAGGGGATTATATCTTACAAAAGACCAGTCTTCTTACATTTTTATGCAAATTTAAAGTAAGCACCTTGTTTCTTTCGGTTGTATTTATTAACAAAACCTGTCTTTTCTTTTTAACTAGCTGTTGTTTTGGTATTCACAAAAATAAGCGTTTCAGAGACAGGGAAGATACATCCCTCTGCCTCAAGCAGGGTTTTCTTGGCGAAAGGAGAGATGCTTACTTAAGCATGTTGTTGCACAAAGAGAAATCTGCCTCTGTTCCTTCCTCTCCAGGTGAAAACTCTTTTGTTCTTTTGAAAACTACAAGCGGTTCTTTGGGAAAAGGCAAGAAGCTAAGAACTGAATCTAAGGAGTAGCATTCCTGGACTTTTGGGGGAAAAGAAATTTTTTTTAATCTATTAGATGTTGGAAAAAGCCCCAGAGTCTTATATATATATTTTTTCTTTTGGAGGTTATTGTAAGATACGTCATTTGATCAACTCTATATTTTTTTCTCTTCTACCAGGGAAAGGTTTTGCGCGATAAAAAGGTTTAACATCAAAATGGAACTTTAAATTGATCTTTTCCTTTTTTAAAAAATAAAGTTTTGACTTTATTAATATTCTGTAAAATGGGCCTTTCTGAAAAGGGGAGGAGAAAAAAATGGACTGATTTCCCCTAGCTATATGCCTCAATACTACATGGTCAGAAGATGACCATTTAATTTTTCAGTAAGTAACAGAGGGTGCAGGTCAGGAAGAAGGAAACAGTCCAGTGGTGGGATTCAGCCGGTTCGCACCACTTCGGCAGAACCGGTAGCTAATTTTTTGTTGCCCAGCCCCAGAATGGACTTCTGGAAGTGGCATCCACACAGAGAACCGATTGTTCACATATCTGAATCCCACCACTGGAAACAGGTAATGGTAGCAAAACCCAGAAAGCCACAAGTTTAAGACTAACCTCAACTCAGCTGTGGTGCTACCACTGGCCTACTGCTGCTATTTGATATTTATCCTTGGAACTGCAAAGTCATGGCAGATGTTTTCCTGCTATAAGTAAGCAATGTACTACAGCAGGGCTAAAAAAATCTATGGTAGGGTTGTTTTCAGGGTAGGACAAGCTGATGTCGCTTGCAAAACAGATCATCCAGCTCTGGGGTAGCAATAAGGGCTGCAGATAGGGAGGGGATATTGAATTTGCTGGCAGATGTTGATTTATCAGAGAAAGAAAGAAAGAAAGAAAGAAAGAAAGAAAGAAAGAAAGAAAGAAAGAAAGAAAGAAAGAAAGAAAGAAAGAAAGAAAGAAAGAAAGAAAGAAAGAAAGAAAGAAAGAAAAAAAACAGTGTTGAAAAGAAATTGTGAGATAGGATATACTGGAGCAGGGGTCTTCAAACTTGGCCCTTTTATGACTTGTGGACTTCAATTCCCAGAATTCCTCAACCAGGCACGCTGGCTGAGGAATTCTGGGAGTTGAAGTCCACAAGTCATAAAAGGGCCAAGTCTGAAGACCCCTGTACTGGAGGATACAAAAACCTCATACTTCCCAATGGGAAAAAAGGCAACTGTGAATCTAGCATCATTTGGCATTTTGATCAGACCCTATCATCGACTCTTATCATGGAACCTAGAGTGTTTGCTTATTACTGCATCAGGACATTACTGAGTAACAATACATTTTGTGTTATTATTTTAATAATTAATTTGACTTTTATTGTGATTTTCCTCTATTTTTAAATTGTATATTTCTTGTATAATTCTTCATTGTCAGGCTTCAACTTAAAAAGCAATTGTTATAAATAATAAGTAAAACTAGGAAGAGAATGAACCTGATTTTTAGAAAAAAAATTAAAATGTGGGATCCTTGGTGCTCTCGGAGATTGGTTGTTTTTTTGCAGACATTTCATTACCAAACTAGGGAACATCTTCAACAGAGAGCACCAAGGACCCTGATAGAATATTCAACAAATATTCTATCAAAATTAAAATGTTATAAATCCAGTATGTTCTATATTCTATTAATTCATTAAAGTTCACATCAGTAGCATATGATCACATGAAATATATGTATTCATGCTCCTTCAACTGAAATCACTGGTGTTTATTGGAAGATATATGCATATTATTAACTATCAGACAGTGTTGGGATTTTTTGTAATTCTCCTTTCAAATAGCCCATTTTTTTTCTCCTATCTTTAGATCGTGTTTATAAGCATATAGAAAGAACCACATTTGCACAATTTCCACTAATTTGTTATAGATTAGGGGACCCTAAATATCACATCAAGGGCTGTGTATATCTGGGAAAGTGATGGTGGGAAATACAAAGGAAAGTTGCAAGAATATTTCCTTGCATAATAATGAATATAATCCATAAGGATTATATCAAGGAGAGAAGCAACCTAGAACTAAGGAGAAACTTCCTGACAGTGAGAACAATTAACCAGTGGAACAACCTGCCTCCAGAAGCGGTGAATGCGCCAACACTGGAAGTTTTTAAGAGACTGGACAGCCATTTGTCCAAAATGGTGTATGGTTTCCTGCCTGAGCAGGAGGTTGGACTAGATGACCTCCAAGGTCCCTTCCAACTTTATCATTATTATTATTATTATTATTATTATTATTATTATTATTATTATTGTTGTTGTTGTTGTTGTTGTTGTTGTTGTTGTTGTTGTTGTTGTTTCAAAATGTGTCATAACTCAATGTGATATAATTGTACAATGCCATGCAGATATCCT